GCAATTCTACCATCTTTGTTTAAAAGAAGCTCCTCATTCAGCGTTGAGACACACTGAGGATTTCACCTGACCTTGTTAAGTTCTATCAAGCTACATGCTCAACCCCTCTGTGCTTTTCACAAAGTACTTCCTGTCTTGAGTTTTGTCACCATTAATGGAAGGCACCAATTTTATCACTGTGTTGTATTCATAAACCTTGATAGAAAAGTGTCCCTTTCTGGGTTCCAGTGAGTCCCGAGTCATTTTTTCACTGTCAGCAACAGGTCCATTTTCCCAGGAAGGGAAAAAATATATAATAATAATATATATATATATACACACACACACATACACATCTATTCTTCCCATGGTTTGCCTTGTGGATATATACTATTCAACCATTTATAACTACTATGATCCTTTTGGCTTTGTGTCCCGTCCACGAGGCTTGCGCACCTCTAGTATAGGAGCAGTATTTGGTGTGACACAGTGGCAGAAGAGACAGGGTGGGACACTGGTTACAAACTGGCTGAGAAGGGGTTGTAGGCTGCTCCTGCTGAATGCAGTTCCTGTATTTGTCCAGAACCAACCTTGAGCTAACCCACTTCACTGGCTTTATTTAACCCTCTTGAAGGTTTAAATTCGTATCTGGTCAGCCGTTCAGTTTCAGTGAAATCTTGTAGTTCTGGTTCATTATAACATTGTTCTCTCAAAATAAAAAAAAAATATATATAAGTGGTATGTATGCCGGCACATGATTAGCCTGGATTACAAGCCCAACCCTTTCTTGATTTAAAAAAACAAAAAAACCCACTCAGCAAACCATCTGGGGATTTCCAGAAACACCCACCCCTTTTCAAGATTTACGCATGTGTTTTGCTAGCATGTATACTATTTGCAGTGTCCAAGAAAGCAGAAATGTCTTGGATCCCCCGGGACTAAATTACAGACTATTGTGAAGTGACATCTGGATGCTAGGAATTGAACTGGGGTCCTCTGCAAAAACAGCTAGTGCTTAGTCACTGAACCCCTTGCTTTTCACTTACTGATTTTTACATTTCATCCACACCAGCTAGTATTACTGTAATCTCAGGAAAAGCCACAGATGAAACATTAAGGAGCTGGTTAAAGATGTCATTTGCTAGCAGGGCATGGTGGCCCATTCCTTTAATCCCAGCACTTGGGAAGCAAGGGAGTTCAAGCCCAACCTAGTTTACAGAATGAATGTGTTCCAAAATAGCCAGGGCTAGAGAAACCTTTTCTCAAAAAAACAAAAAAATTCAGTATCTAGTGAGTGCTAGAGAACTCAAAAAGTTGTGTCCAGCTGGAGGGGGATTGATAAACAGTTCAAGCTTTTCAGTGAAAAGCACTGTTAGAAGGGTTACAACTTAGGTTTAAGGACTAAAAGCAGAATGCCAAAACAAAATCTAAGTCCCAGGATAATCAAGACAGCCTCTATAGTCTATCAGTGTCCAGTTTATACACTCCTTGGAAGAGAAACTGTCCATAATCCAAAAAAGTGCTCAACCACATCTCATGTTAAAACCACAAGGGGGTGACTCAGCAGTTAAAGAACAATGGCTACTAGCTGGGCAGTGGTGGCACAAGCCTTTAGTTTCAGCATTCAGAAGGGAAGGCTCTGGTCTACAGAGCTCCAGGACAGCCAAGGGTGTAGAGACACCAAGAAAGAAAAAGGGAAAAAAAAAAAAACAAAAAAAAAACAAAAAAACAAAACCCATTTGCAACTCTTCCAGAGGACACAGGTTCAATTCCAGCACCAACATGGCAGCTTACAACTGTCAGTAACTTGGTGGATCTGACTCCCTCACACATTCATATATTCAGGCCAAATACCAATGTACATAAAAAAATTATAAACACTTTAATCACTGTAGATGTCTAGGAATTTGTAGAGACCTTAAATTACAAAGCTGGGGCTTTGTAAACTGAGAACCATTAAAGTCCCAGAAGGGAAAAAAAACAAAAACAAAAAAACAAAACACTTGAAGGGCTAGAGATAGCTTAGCTGTCAGGAATCCAGAAAACCCAAGTTTGATTCACAGAACCCACATGATGGTTCACAACTGTCTCTAATACTAGAAGATCCACCCTCTTCTGGCCTCCACTGGCACTGCATGCACATTGTAAAGACATGGCAAAACACCCATATGCATAATTTTCTTGGTTAAAAGAACTCGGTCTCTGCCATGAACTGATTGGCCTGCTCTTTGATCACCTGCATCTGAGTGGGGAGCAGCTTTACCAGGCCACAGAGATGAGACCTGACAGACTAGGATCAGAAGGAAGCAGAGAAAAAACCTCCTATCAGTGGAGTTTCGGAGGGGCATGCATAGAGAAGGGGGAGTGGTGAGACTGGGAGGGGTTCATGGGGGGGATACAAAGTAAATGAAGTGTGATTAATAAAAATTAAAAATGAGCTAGAATAATCAGTGAACCAGAAAACAGATCAATAGAAAAAAAAAAAAAGTCAAAAACTAGCCTCAATGCCAGTTATCAGGTCCAACAGAAAAATGAATGGGGCTCAAACAACTGAAAAAACCATGATAAAAACTAGGACTGAATATGGTTATGCAGATCTGTAATCTCAGCACTTGGTGCTGAAACAAGATTTCAAATTCTACGACAATCAGGACAATCAGTAAAACTCTGTTCAAAACAAAAGGAAACCCCCCCCCCAATAAATGTAGTTGGTTTTCTGAAAGGATTAACATGGGTCATAGCCTATCATCCTTTCGACATATACGTATGAATGTGTATGCCATGTAAACATGCACAGTTGCACATGCCTTTAATGGCAGCACTTGGGAGGCAAATCTGAGTTTAAGGTCAGCCTAGTGTACATAGTGAATTCCACAATGGCCAGAGCTACATAGAAACCCTTCTTAAAAACAAAGCAAAACCAAGATGGTATGGTGGCCCTGAAGACTTTTCAGTGGTACTTGACCAGGACGATCCCTGGAATCCAGGTAAAAAGCCAGTAAAATGGCCTGCATCTCTAATTCCCACATTCCTATTGCCAGAAACAAGAAACCCTGCTTTAAGAGGTTAAAAGAACTAGGTTAAGTTTTCTTCTGGCCACAAATAAAAAAACAGATCCTAAAGAACACAGGTTAATTCCCCACCTGCCACTACACAATAGGTCGAGCAGTCCCTGTAGTCTGTTCTATCATCTCTTGCTCAACACAAATAGGTACTTTCTTAGGTTTATGGAGGACAGCAAACAAAATCAGGCTTCTTTGCTATTTAGGACCACGAGAGCCTTTTTCTTATTCCATGGCTTGCTACTAAGTGGATTCAATTACCTTACTAGAAGATGCTAATCCCCTGGATGGTAGTGGTGCAGGACTTTTGAGTCCCTAGGACAGGCTTGGCTATACAAACCTTGACTTTAAACCATAGACCCCCCTGGGGGAAAAAAAAGATGCTAATCCTAGAAATGTAGAGATAGCTCAGAAGTTAACTTTTCCAGAAGTATACTCAAGCTTAATTCCCCAATGTCCTAAAATTTGATTTCAGTGCCATATCTGACCTATTCTCCTAGCCTGTGGGCACCAGGCATACACAGACCACTCATATACATAAAAGGGGGTGGGGAGATCCAAATCCTCAGGGACTTGCCTTTTCCTTTCCACCTATCTATATTCCTTATAGTTGAGGTTCAGGCAGATGAAACTGGTAAACTGAAAACTAGTATATAGTTGGTAATCTGGTAATTTCTAGTCACTAGCATCCTTAACAAGCCACATTGCTTAGTGTGTGCTTAAAAGCAGGTGAATTTTTTAGAGCTTTGTTACTTTTCTAGTCTGAGAGGCAAATACTAATGTACAGGGAGATAGATTCCTACATAATGCTGTGGCAATTCTATCATCTGAGCAGCTTTGAGCTCAGTATCTACTAGCTGAAGCCAGATAACTGCCTGGCTTTTCTCAACTCACTCCATTAACCTTATGTACTTATGTTGCCACCTACTGGAAGAATGTGAAAAGGAACTGACAACCATTTCCTAAGGGTAAGAGCTTAGGGTTCTAAAATGGCTGCAAATCCCTCCAGTTCAGGAGCATGGGGAAACACATTACAACTTTTAATGACCCTATCTACAGGGTTAACTATCCTGTACCCTCACTCAAATACAAAAACAAACAAAAAACACAAAAACAAAAAACCTACCATATGCCTGCTAACAACAGACTTGCACCTTTTTTTGTTGTATTGTTTTCCCAAGTAAGGGGTTTTTGTAGCCTTGTTCTGAACTCTGCACAGGATTAGCCTCTTGGGATTAAAAGACACATACCACTACCAGCAGACTTACCATTTCTAGCTCCTCCCCTTAGGTGTCTTCTGCTACAAGCCATTATAAAGTGTTCCTTTAACTAGGATACTAGCAAAGATAAGGGTTTCCTTCCCCAGAACAAAATATATCAAATGGCTCCCCCACTATACACAAATCACTTAGTGCCTGTGATACCCCAACTAATTTTTAGACAGGGAAAAACTCGTAACCTTTTAAATCATCTGAGGGACTGCCAAACACTGTCCATACCACATAACCAAGCCACCTGACAGGTGCCTTTGATTAAATGTGTATGCCACTGCTGCCTGGCTAAGATGTGGAACTTCCAATCGACAAAACTTTGTGCTTGGTCACCTAAGTGGATCTTTCAACTAAACGGGGCAGCATGCCTTGCCCAGGCCATTTAAGACTACACTGTATGGGATTAGAATGTGCTGGGATTAGAATGATATACACAAACTCTTATCACATTTCCAGCACCAATCCATGCGCTGCTTCACCAACTTGTCCAGGACGCCCATCTAAGGGTAAAATGCAACGTATCAAACCTTTCAGATTAGAAACACGATGCTGCTGCAGCAAACCACCCCCTACCGTAATTTCCACATTTGCAGGATTACTGAAAGCAAATTCCCACTTGGCAGAATCTGCAGTCAGTCTTGCCAAGCTCTTAAGCAACATTCCAAAATGAACCTTCAGGAAGCACAAGTCTGGCATCAGAGTTTAGGACTTTTAATTTGCCCTAAAGCCACTGAAGCAAAAAACATGATAAACATTCTTTTACAGCCCCCAACACAAAAAAGAAAAAAAAAAACATTTGTAGGAAAAAAAGGTTTTGTACATAGGGTAAAACAATATAAATTCAATCATACAGATGGGGTTAGCTCTATTACCCATCTTGAAAAAGTTACCTGCTCAGTGACAGAGCCTCCTAAGGACATCCCAGGACAGTATACAGCCAAGGTGGTCTACTTAGAATCTATATAAAAATAACATTTCAAGATAGAGATAACCTGTTCATTTTCACTGGGCTCATATAACTCAACAGGGCATCTCTTGAAATGTTATCTTTATTTGGATTCCAAGCAGACCACATGGCCTGCAATCTATCCTGGAATGTCCTTAGAAGGCTCTGTCATTGAATAGGTAACAGAGTAAAAACCCCAGAGTCCTTTCTTTAAAATGAAGAGGGAAAGACTGGAATGGAAGGAACTATTCAAATTTCGTCTTCTTTCCTTGTGGCTTGAAGTCTCCCCCTCCTCCTCTGCCGCCTCGAAAGCCTCCTCGGCCTATAGGAAGGAAAAAAAATGAATGAAAAGTGTTGGAATTGACCTCCCCAACCCAGAATGGTAGGACACAGGCTTAGGAATTAAGGTTATAGCTCCTATCTTTTACCTCCAAAGCCTCCTCGGCCTCTGCCACCAAATCCGCCTCTTCCTCCTCTGCCACCACCTCTGCCTCCGAATCCTCCTCTGCCTCCACCTCGGCCACCGAAGCCACCTTCACCCTTAGGTTTGGCCCAGTCCAAGGTAACCTTGTTTCCATCAATTTCTCCATCTTCCATGGCCTCCTTGGCAGCTTTGGCATCTTCTTCACTATTGAAGTCTACAAAACCAAACCTAAAACACAGAATAAAAACCACCCACTTAAAAATAACATAACAAGCACCAAATCACCCACATACAGAAAGTATTCTTTAGTTGACCCAACTGTGGTAAATTCTGGTTCGATCTCCGAATGTCTCACACAACAGCCAAATAAACCTCTGCCAAAACAGAAGATTTAAAGTGCTAGTTCTGTGAACTTTCTCTTCTTCTCGTGCGAATCCATAATCTGCCACCAGCTGACAGAAAGGAGCTCAATGAGAAGACACTGCAGAGCCAAGCTCTCCATGCAGAATACATTAAAGAGAAGCAATACTATGCCTTACCCTTTAGAAGAGCCAGTTTCCCGATCAGTGACTATTCTTGCACGAACAGAGCCCTCAAACGACTCTTTCAAGGTCTCTTCAGTGGTATCCTCAGACAGACCTTTGACAAACAGAGTTTTGGATGGCTCTAGAAGAGAAAATGATGCCTGTTTTATAGGTTTTTCACTATGTACCCTTGGCTGGACAGATGGCAATCAAACCCATAAGTTGCTGCTTTGAGCTGACGGCTGGATCAGAACTTGACTATCTAGAGGAATTTTCTTGAGATTTCATCAATTATTTCTCAGGTAATCAGTCATCATATCCAACTGTCATTTACTCAGCAGCTACATAAAGGCAGCCCCGTATCAGCATGGACACACATAAGCTCAAAAAAATGCCACCCAACCCCAGTCACATCATGCCAAAGGGACTTACGACTTCTTGCATTAGGTGATCCCCTCTGTCCTTGTAACTCCAGTCTGATTGTTCTGCCCTCAATTTCCATTTTATTACAGGAATCTAAAGCTTCTTTAGCATCTTCAAATGAACCAAATTCTATATATGCATACCTGAGGATTCAAAGTCAGTGCTCAGAATAAAACTTAAAAACACATGGCACCAGCAGGTAATCAATTACCAATGTTATCAATATTTACTGTCATGTGCACAACTAAAACTTCAAGTGTTTTTAAGCTAACAGGATAGTTTTAACCTTATCAGAGCTGTGTAAGAATATGTCCAGTCCACACCTAACAACATAAAATTATACTTTACCCTTTAGATCTGCCTTGTGGGTTCTGGGGCACTTTGATAAAAGTTGCTTTCTCAAATATTTCCTGAAGAGTTTCTTTTGTTGTACTATAGGAAAGATTACTTAAAACCAAAGTTTTTGATTCACCTGCAAGTACAAAGATGTCACATTGGCAAGATATGTATAAATTAAAGCAATCAGACAAAATGTGGGCCACACACAAGCCTATTTCCAACCTACCCCACAAGAGGTCATGTAACGAAAACAATGAAACTTCAGCTGCAGACCACTATACCACATTCAACTAAAAACACTTGTTGCTTTAACAGTAACTGTACAGGAATGCCTTTTATTTTTAGTCTAACTAGATCACTTTTCTATGTTGTCCTACATTATTTCTAAAATACACATAGGTCAAGCCATTTAAAGTATGAAACATATCCAACAAAGAAAGCTGTTTGCCTACTATTCTCCAGTGTAAATTTAAAAAAGCTCCCATTCATGAAGACTAAAAGCGAGGTAGATGAACAAAAGGTGAACTAATTCTAGCTCACCATAAAGTACAAATACACAAGTGCTTTCCAACCCCCACTAGAATTAAACCTTTTAACTTACCACCAGCACCCCAAGAGCTATTCTTTCCACCTCTCTCTTGCCTTTGTCCTTTCTCCCCAGTGTAGTAGAGTGAAACAGATCGCCCATCAATTTCTGCCCCCTGCTTTTCTTCAAGGTTTTTTTCTGCATCAGCTTCAGACTTAAATTCAATATAAGCAATCCTGCAATAGAGATAAGCAGAGTACAAGCACAGTTTGCTTAATAAGAAACATATTAGGCAAATAACAAGTATGTGTGCACTCGGTGACTGAAATAATAACTACTTATATCACTTTTATTGTTCTTTTTAAAGTTTTATTTGTCTTTAAAATCATTCTTTAAACTTATGTAGACTATTCCCCTACTATGTAGGGGGATAAAAAGTGCCCACAGTAATATAGATTAAATGGCTAGAATCACTTCTCATAAAATAGGAAAGGATAGTCCTGGTGGTACCAGAAATCTGAGGCAAAAGACACAGATTTGGGTGGAGGCCAGCTTGTAGCAGTAGTCACAGCTTCAAAAACCAACCCACCATCTGGGCATGATGGTGCACTCTAAACTCAGAACATGGGAGGTAGAGGCAAGAGGATCAGTTCAGTCTGACCATAAAATCTGAGTCCGGCACACAGAGACACTCACCACCGACTCAGAAACTGTTACTATAAGTCAATTTCAAAGACACAAAACATACCCTTTACTCTTCCCATCCTGGCTGACCAATCTGATCTCCACAGCATCTTCAAAGACTTCTTTTAATTCATCCTCAGTAATGTTGAAAGAGAGGTTTTTGGCTAAAAGGGTTCTTGCAGCTCGAACTAGATAAAAAAAGACAAGTGCATCATATAACACGTCACAAAGAAAATAGGGCAATAAAATAAAGGACAAGGTTCTATGCTAAAACTGAAAGGTGAGAAGGGTGGAGAGGTGGCTCAATGGTTATGAGCACTATGCATGAAGAGGACCCATGTTCAATTCTCAGCACTTACAATATGGAGACTCACAATCATCTGTCCAGTTTCAGGAGATTAAGTGCTCCTGTCCTCCTTGGACACCAGGCAGCATGTTGTAGATGCATATATTCTAGGCCATATGTATCAAATTGTACACAAAACAAATCTATTTTAAGTCCCACCTCTAAGATACCTCATAACCCATATGGATCATTCCAGTGACACAAGACGATAGCCAGTAAGTCTGTGACCTGCTTAGACTACAAACTGAATCCACAGCTATCTTCTCAAATGATCAAAAGGGGACTGAGGATATGAAGCAATGTTAAAGAGTATTTCTAGCATATAGTGGGCCTACTTCAAAACCCAAAGTCTGAAACCTGAAATGGCATCAAGAAGTGCTTCACAGCAAAAGCACCTTTACTCACTAGTCTACTCATCTTGCAAGTTCTAACACTACAGCAGACACCACCCATGTCACCTCACTGGTTTACATGAGATGAAACTAAGGGAAAAGTCTAAAGTCTACCTCCTCGTCAGTTAACATACCTTTCTTACTATCTCTTCCTTTTGGTTTTTCTAGTTTAATTTCATTGCCGAACACTTTTAAACCAGTAAGCTCCAAGGCCTTTTCTAGGTCTTCAGCAGACTCAAAATCCACATAACCAAATTTCCTTGAAGATGAAAAAGAACAAGATTACAGGCATGAGAACCATCTATTTTTGTTCATACAAATGTAGCACCTACAACACCAAAACTAATTCATCTTCAAATCCCCTGAACCAAGACACAACAGCAAACTCACTTATATCTCATTTATTAAGTCTTAGAACACCACAACTGATAGCGGGAGCTGGTATGGACCCTGCTAAGTACTAAGAATCCATCTAGCTAAAAGCATTCCCAGATCATTCAGATCCAAGTCTAAGGCATTACCCAAAATGCCAAATTCTTATAATGCCTAATCTTTATATTCCACGTTTAAAAACATGGAAGGGAACAGAAAGGTTTAAAAAACCCCACCAGGTAATTAGATAAAATATTCAATGAAAAATTTACCTGTTTGTACCAGTTCTGACATCCACAACAGCAAGATCATTTTTAGCAAAAAGTTCACTGATTGCACTTTTTAATTCAGCAACAGACTTGCTTGGATTAAGGTTTCCAATGAACAGATTGAAAGGTGTAGTTGGTTCTGAGCCTGCACAGAAAATGAACTTTTAGTCCACTTATAAATTTAGTCACTACACATAAATTTCAACATAGAAGAACTATAAGGCACATCAGCACACTGCATTTCCACACCAGATTTCAGTATTAAGTCCCTTTGTCATTCATCATTTGTGCCACTGCTACCTTAAGAGGTTAAGGCTATGTCCCCCATTTGGGCAGGTTTACCTTCTACTTTCTGTTTCTTGGCTTCCGGAGCTTCTTTCTGTTTGGTCATTTCCTTCTTCCTTTTTCCAGGTGCTGCTTTAACAGGTTCTGGATAAGATGTTTTTAAAGTGTCATTCATGTGTATGTAGGCAGGCATTTTAGTATTTCTATTAAACATTCAGGTCAGTGTACTTTAGAATTTAATTTAATTTGGTTTACCTTCCTCTTCTTCCTCCTCCTCCTCCTCTTCTTCTTCCTCCTCCTCTTCTTCATCGTCCTCCTCATCTTCATCCTCTTCTTCATCATCCTCATCCTCCTCAGCCACATTCTTGGCTTTTACAGGAACAACTTTTTTTGCAGGAGGAGCTTTCTTTCCTTTGGCTGGTGTGATCTCCATAACTTCTTCTTCTGAGTCTGAAAGATAGTTCAGCAAGCAAAGGTATTTGCTGGCAGTCCAGACACACATAAAAGAAAAACCCACAAACATAAAACTAAGAAAATGAAACCCTGACAACATGCTTAATTAAATTATAGAAAGAATTAAGAAAGCAAATGGGGCAGTGGTGCATGCCTGAAATCCCAGCTCAGGGAGGCAGAGGTAGGTGGATTGCTTTGAGTTTGGAGGCCAGCCTGGTCCACAAAGGGAGTCCAGGACAGCCAAGGCTACACAGAAAAACCTGTTTAGTTTAACAGAAGAAAAAAAATTAAAAGCACAAAATGTGTCTTTCAAATCTAACTCATGAAGTGGTCAGAAAAACTACATGTAGTATTTAAAAACCTATCTCTACCAAGCCTGCAAACAGAAACCCAAGAACACACACCCAAACACTTACCATCTTCCTCTTCATCATCCTCTTCCTCATCATCCTCTTCCTCATCTTCTGAGGCAGGAGCAGCAGCAGCAGCTGCTGCTTTTGCTGGTTTTGCTCCTTTGACTACTACTGGTGGCTCAAAATCATCCTCCTCTTCCTCATCATCATCTTCCTCCTCTTCCTCATCATCATCTTCATCCTCTTCCTCACTGTCATCTTCCTCTTCATCACTGTCTTCCTTTTTGGCATTCTTACCATTCTTAGCTCCCTTGGCTGGCATGACAGCTCCCTTCTTACCAGATGTTGCTACCAATGCTTTTGCTTGTGTGGCTCCCTTCTTACCAGGTGTTGCAACTACTTTGGCTGGTGTAACTGCCTTCTTAGCTGGTGTGGCTGCTGCCTTTTTGCCTGGGGTAACATTTGCTTTCTTAGCTGGGGTGGGAACTGCAACCTTTTTTGTTTGTGAAACGACCACCTTCTTTGCTGGAGTGGTAGTAGCCTTCTTGCCTTTTTTCTGAGGGATGACAACCTTGAAAACAAATCATAAGCATTCTATATTCAATACTATCTTAAGATACCAAGACTAACTGAGCTCAAGAACAAGGGCATTAGATAGACTGGAGAGATGGCTGAGCACTTATTCTTGTCGAGGATACAAGTTCAGTTCTCAGCATGCACATGGTGGTTCTAAGTCCATTTCCAAGGATCCAAGAGCATTCTTCTAGCTTAAGGGCACCAGCCATGCTTAGTGCGCCCACACATGTAATTAAAATTCTCCAACCTGAAACACCCAAAACTGGCTTCCAACTCAGCCTCAAGTACTTGAGTTAAGAAAGAATATACTCTAGTTTTATTAAAAAACAACAACAAAACCCAACGAAGTCCAGCCAGGCGTGGTGGTGCACCCCTTACTACCAGCACTCAGAGTAGAGGCTGGAGGATCTCCGAGTTTGAGGCCAGCTTAATCTGAGTCCAAAACAGCCAAGGGTACAGAGAAACCCTGCCTGGAAAGGGGGAGGGAAGCGTTCCACTCAAAGCACTTTTTGCTAATAGTTTTATCAGGTACTTAAAGCAGATGTTTTCTAAACCAGAAATCTGATTTAGCATGTCGATAAAAAAAATGAGGTTTCACTCCATAGTCCCAGCTTGCCTAGAATGAAAATACTCAAATAATTATCAACAGCAATAATGAGCTTGTATTTCTTTCTGATTCTACTTCCAGACTGCATCTTAAACTTAACACAATCTTTCGATTAGCCGTTGTACCTCTTCTTCACTGCTGTCATCTTCTTCATCTTCTGACATCTCTTCGTCTTCACTATCTTCTTCCACCTCCTTTGGGGGAGGAGCCATTTTCTTGGACTCACCGTGGGTTTTGCCGGCCTGCAAATGCACGCACAACGTGTCTACCCGCATCTTAAGCCATTTTGTATTTTGCCATTAGGTCTACTTCCCATACGGTTAAAGAACTTTTGCCATATGGCAAAGTTTGCGGTATGTCCTGACTTTTCACAGACAACTGAGAAAAACTCTTCCCCTTTAGACACTAGTCCCGGCCCTTTATGTCATGGCCCCTTCCTCTTAACTCAAGTTGAAGGCATCCCTCTAACTCGTCTGCTGGGGGGCGTGCGGGAGAGCGCGGAAGCAGCCTCTAAAGGAGCATCTCCGGCGCGGAACTCCCTCCACCTTCTCGCGCCCCAGCCGCGCCACGTGGAGGTCCCCCCCGCAAGCCACCACGCGCAGGCCAGCCCGGCGCCGCCGGGGCTGGGGGATCGCCGGCCTGGCCACCTAGGCCCATCCCGCAGCCCCCTATCCCGGTGTCCAGGCCCACTCCCAGCCCCCGAGGACGCGCGACACACGAGGAGCGCCGCCACCCACGTGGCGGGCCGCGCACCCGAGCACGTGCGCGGGGAGGCGGGGCCCAGCGAGCCCTCGCCGCATGGGTTCGGCCCTCTCCCTACTCGGCGGCCCCGGCGCGGGCCCCCCCACGCTCAGCTCCTCCGATCTCCCCCCTCGCCGACCCCCGCGGGGCAGCGGACACCGCCCTCCCCGCAGCCCGCCTCGGCTCTGCTCGGCACCGAGTCAGAGGCCAAACAGCGCGAGACCTGCCGGCAGTCGCGCGAGACTTTCCTCAGCATGGCGCCCTCGAACGCGCCCGGGATTGCGCGCAGGCCCTCCTCCCCTCGGCGCCGGGGGCGCGCGCGTCCCGGAGAAAGCAGGCCTCACTCGTCCACATCGGCGCGCAAGGCCTCTCACCTTGGCGAGCTTCACCATGATGGCGGATTACGACGGCGGCGTGTGCGGAGGGCGAGCAGCTCGGAAGAGCCTCGGGGCACCCACGCGAGGTCGTCGGCAGCGGCGGGCACTGAAGGCTCCGGAGCACGTACAACTGCCTGCCAGCTACCGCTAGCGTCTGAGGCGAAAGACTGAGCCTGCCCAGTAATCGCCTCTGGAAAGGCGACGGCGGCGTCCTCGTGACCCCGCCTCCACCAATCACTGCTCGCGTCCGTCCCTCGAGCCAACCGCCGGCCTCAGCCCCGACGGCGTGGGGCGGGCCTACGGCGTGGGGGGCGGAGACGGCGGGGGCGTGGCCGGGCGGCAGCTTCCGGAGGGCGGGGCCGGTTTTGCGCAGGGCGGACGTTGACTGGTTGGTGTGCGGTTCAGCGTTCCCGAGCGGCCCGCTCCCCCCACGCCTGCGCGGTGAGACGCGCGAGTTTGGCGCGGCGTGTGAGGAGCGTTGGGGGGGCGCCTCGGCCCGGATGCCCTGAGGCACTAGGGCGCCGCATGGACCTCTGGCTTCACGTGGCCTGGGGTTTGCTCGGGGAGTCCTCCGCGCTGCGGAAGCTCGCCCCCCACGGTGGAGTTGGCGGCGGCCTAACGCGTCCGCGGCGCCTTGCTGCGGAGGAGCCGGAGAGCGCCGGAAGTTCGCTCGGGCGGGTCGGCGGCCCTCGGCCTGCCCCTCAGCCGTGCGCTGCAAGCCACCGTTCTCCTGAGAATTCCTAATAAAAGCAACTGCGTGTGTGAGCGGTGCAGTCCCCTTAGGGCATAGTGACTAACAAACCCCCGTATGTTAGGTATAACTCCGAACGGGGCCAGGTCCAGAGAGAAGACTTCCGGTGGGTGCTGGGGAAGAGACCACTCAGGCCTCCCCTCGAAGGCGGGGACAGGAGTTGTCTCGGGTTGCTTAATGGTTGGTTTCGAGCGTAGCATACTGGAGCGCTTCTATTCTTGAGTGTTTTCTAGGCATCTAAAGCCCAACTTTTCTGGAGTCAGGGTTCCATCATCTGACAACATTGATTAAGAAATAAATCACAGCTGAGTGTGGTTGCGTGTGCCTTTAATCCCAGGATTTGGGAGGCAGAGGTAGGGCTAATCTGTGAGTTCGAGGCCAGCCTGGGTTACAAATCGACAGGAACCATGTCTCGAAAACCAAAAAATAAAACAACAACAACAAAAAAGGATTTTTGTCTAGGGTGCGGGTCGGGTGTAGAGCAGGCTAGCTTCAGCCTGACCCCAGTGTGTCGGGTTAAATTTGCACCACCATGCCTGTCCCAGTCTCGGGAGATTTTAATGAAGACTGATGTGTTAGGTCCCAAGTTTTCTGTCTAAACATCAGCCTTTGCAGATGCGTGACGCTTGCTTACTAAGGCCTTCCCAACACAGTGTGGGACAGCCCCAGGTGTTCTCGAGTTAGGGCGGCAGGTGATGGGGACCAGTGTTGCGGTGCTGGGGAATGATCTTTATAGAGAGACTGGTCACACCTTGAACTGTTAGGATGGAGCCAGGGGAGACTCTTGGATAGAGGGACAGGAAGGGTGTGTGAGCCAAGACCCTGGATATTCCGAACAGAGCACGCTAAAGGCACCCGGGAAGAGACGGATGAATCCCAGGAACCTGGGCTTGTCTTCTCTGTCGATCCGCTCTATCTGTATGGGCCCTCCTCAGTCCTCTCGTGTGAAGTGCCGCTAAGATACTCTTGCACCCTGAGTTACACTCACCCAGTAGTTTTCTTGGTCATTGTTAATTTGCCCCTTCCCCAGACACAACACAAACTGTTATCTGCTGTATTCCCAGTACCTAAAGCATTGCCTGGCACATAATAGCCCTGAAAATTACAAACTGGAGTGACCGATACAGCGCAGTGATAGGCGCACCACCACACAGTGTGAACTTCCGAACACAAGTTTTTAAGTGAAGCAGCAGCAGGGACAGCAGTACAACTTGGTGTTACCGCGGAGTCAACACCTAACGCTTAGGGGGTCATTTCCAGGCACACAAGCTCCATTTTAGCTCTCTAGAAATTTTAAATTCATAAATGTATTCAAAATAGGCTAAAGCATCACTGCGCACAGATGAGGGCGAAGAGCAGTGGTTCTCAACCTGTGGATCGCGAGCCCTGTGGGGTCAAATGACTCCTCCACGGGAGCTGAATATTAGATACCCTGCATATCAGATCTTATGGCCAGGCGTGGTAGTACTTTAATCCCGGCACTCAGGGAGGCAGAGGCAGGCAGATCACTGTGAGTTCCAGGCCAACCTGGTCTGCAAAGCAAGTCCAGGACAGTGAAGGATACACAGAGAAACCTTGTCTCAAAAAACCAAAAATAATAAAATAATTTTATGGTTGGGGTCGCCACAACATGAGGATCTGTATTAAAGGGTCTGAGAACCGCTGGTGTACAGTTGTCCAGTCACAGAATTAGTAAGGAGACCGGACAGTAGGGGGAGGAGGTGTGCCTGAGTTCAAGTGTGGAGGCAAGAGGTTAACCCGGGTTGTCTATTTCTATCACTCATGACTTTTAGTTATTTTTATTTTTGAGATAGGGTCTCATGTATCCCAGGCTGCCCTTGGCTTTTCATTGTTTGCCTCTCCCTTCCAAATGCCGGCATTACAAGTGTGTGCCACACTCAGGTTTTAGGTGGCTTTGTGCATGCCAGGCAGGCACTTGGCACGTGAGCTATGCCCCTAGCCCATCTCCAGCTTAGTTCTCCGGTTATACAGGCCAGTTAGCCATGCCAGCGATCCTCCTGTCCCTGCTCCAACCAGTGCTACCCAGCTACCGCGACAGTTGTGTGCTGCCACCCCATGCTCCTTACAGGGGGATCCGGGACCTGAACTTGAGTCCTCATGCTCCTGTAGCAATCACTTCATCCACTGAGGCATCTTCCTATCCGGGTAGAGAGGACTTAAGACAAAGGGGCAAGAGAAGAATGAAACCTCTAGGTCAGTTTCCCCACGTTAAGGGTCCTGCCATTTATTTATCGACAGCACATCTTAGCTTTTTTTTTTTCTTCTTCTTCTTTTTGAGATGGTCTTGTTAGGTAGCCTAGGCTGGCCTGGAAATTGTGTTTCCTTCTGAGCATTGGCATTGTAAGTGGATTTCAGCAAGTGCTAATTGAAAATCAGTTATAAATATACCACATAAGGTACCAAAAAAAAAAAAAAAAAAAAAACCAAAACAAAACTAGGCACAGTAGCTCACACCTATAATCACAGCATTTGAAAGGCTGCACCGGAGAATTACCATGAATTTGAGGCCTGAATTAACAACCCGAGTAACTGAGTTCCAGGCCCTCTCTGAATGAATTAATAAATAAGTCTCAAAACAACCAAGCATGGTGGCATATTCTGTAATTCCAGTGCTTTCGAAGGATTGCCAGTATAGGGTTAACCTGGGCTATACCTCAAGACCCTGTATTAAAAAAAAAAAGGAAGAAACACCCTACCCCATCCTTACACTTTGTTTTGTTTGTGGATCTATATGATGAACTTCAGTGATTTGCATCTGTTAAATGAAGGTAATAGTTACTACTCCTTTTTTCTTTTTTTTTTTTTTTAAAGATTTATTTATTTATTTTATGTATATGAACACACTGTTTCATGCACACCAGAAGAGGAAATCAGATTCCATTGCAGATGGTTGTGAGCCATCTTGTGGTTGCTGGGAATTGAACTCAGAACCTCTGGAAGAACAGTCAGTGCTCTTAACCACTAAGCCATTTCTTCAGCCCCTACTACTCCTTTTTTCAAGGGTATGCCTAGGTAGTAAGCATAAAATAAATGTGATCCATTTCCTCTAGGGTTTTAACTTCCAGGCCAAGGATCCTGGAAAGAAAACAGCAGGAAGCTGCCTAAATGCCTAGAAACTGGGAGAAGGCCCTGTTCCCCCTCTCCAGCCTGTGACCAGGACCACAAGACCTAACACAGTAGACTAGGTGAATAGGTAGTTTCTTTTCAAATGAAAGCAGAAAGAATCAGGCACAGTGACACTTGTAACCCCAGCCTTCAGAAGGAAAAAGTTTCAAAATTCTGCACAGTAAAATAACTCTCCCTCTCCATTCTCTTCAAGCCACTTGCTTCCAACGCAGTGACAGAAGAGTCCATGAGTCCATGTACTATTTATTTGTTTGTTTTTCAAGACCGGGTTTCTCTGTTTTAGTCTTGGCTGTCCTGGAACTCACTTTGTAGACCAGGCTGGACTCGAACTCACAGGGATCCACCTGCCTGTGCCTCCTGTGCTTGGGATCAAAGGTGTGCGCCACCACTGCCCTGTTTTTTGTTGTTGTTTTTAAGATTTATTTATTATTTATACAACATTCTGCCTGCATGTGTACCTATGCACCAGAAGAGGGCACCAGATCTCTCCATAGATGGTTGCTGGGAATTGAACTCAGGACTTTTGGAAGAACAGCTAGTGTTCTTAACCTCTGAGGTATCTCTCTAGCCCCACTACTATATTCTTAATAATTACAGGCTGTTCCTTACATGGAAGGGTCACTTAACCAGTTGTTGCTGCTAGACATTGCAGGGAGAGCTGCACTTAACTATTACTACAAACAAACAAATGACCTTTTGTTTGTTTGTTTGTTTTCCAAAGACAGGGTTTCTCTGTGTAGCCCTGGCTGTCCTGTAACTAACTCTGCAGACCAGGCTGGCCTTGAACTCAGAGATCTGCCTGCCTCTGCCTCCCAAGGGCTGGGGTTAAGGGTGCACCACCACCACCACCTGGCTGCAGATAACTCTTGTATATACCTTATGTGACACATGTACAGGTCAGCAGCTTATCTGGGGAGAACTTAATAGAGCTGCTGGATGAGAGTACAGCCTTTCATGCGCTTACAGGTGCTCTCACATGCACAGCCCAGACAGCTCCAAGCTTTGGCAGAGAAGGGTCTGAGGAGGGGAGCGGTATGAATGTCCCCTAAGCAGTGGGGGCTGGCACTCACTCTGGCACTAACCAGGCTCTGACACCAGGGCAGAAGCTCCAAAGGCATCACCCTGAACATCTCACCACCTCTAAACTTGCATAAAGCTGGCTCAGTTCTGCTCACTCCCTGCTGCATGGACTAGACTGCTACCCACTGAGCCACTCAGGCACTTAGCAGCCACGGGAGGAAATCCGAAGGATTTGAGGACAAGAATCCACAATTTTC